TCTAATTTATTTGCTGAGATTTGAGAACTTTTCTCGTAGAAAATTCACCATTCAATTTACTGCATGCATTATTATTTTTTTTTTTTTTAACGTGAAGTGGAAACAAGCATCTGAAATCATTCCTCTCCTCCTGACAGCAACATCTGTAAAACCTTAACACTGGGAGGAGGCAGGAACCAAGAGATTTATAACCCCCCGCTGAAATATTGGAACGACCTTATTTCCCAGCAATTAGCTCTGCTCAAAACATTTTTGTTTCCTATTAGAAGCAATCGACTAACATTTACATTCATGTGTTTAATAGCTGTTGGCCATCTCGGGATTCCAGCAGGCAGGAGGGAGGGATGTGGGCTCTGAACTGCAAACTGTTTGCGTTGCATCGTTTGTTGTGTTTGTTGATAGTGGTGAAAACACGCAGTATGCGACGCTCGAGGATGGGGATGACATCGTTTGGGAAATAGAAGGGGTCTGGTCTTTGGCCAAATTTTTTCTATGACTCCAATGTATCAAGATGAGCTCCAGTGAGTTTGCTGGAGAGTGAATTTTGGTTCTGCTGAAACTTGTAAGGAGAAGTGGAGTGCACTTACATATGAGATGCTGTAGGAATGAGAAGAGGCTCTGCTGGAAAAGTGGTGATGGGGGGGTGTCCATTGACAGATGGAAGATGTGCGTCCAGCCCAGTGCCTGGCAGATTATTGCCTGTGAGCTTCAAGAATAGTTTAACTTAAAAATCAGGAGCGGATGGATCCCATTTTAGGCTATTGATAGCACAACGTCATGGGGTGAAACTGAGAGCTGAGTTGCAATGTGAGGAAATGAATGCATTCATAGCCTGGGTGGGAAGCTGCAGCAAATGTTGTGACTTTTGTTTTGGAGGAGGAGAAAGAAATGCCCGCTTGCTCCTTGGCTTTGAGAGCAGGGAGATGAATGCTGCATCGAAATAGGGTCCTGAGTGGGTCTGAAAAAGATGAATGGTTTAATTGTTGGAAAAACACTGTTCTAGGAATGTTGAAACAAAGTTGAATTTGAAATACTGTGGATGTTTGAGGGCAGTGTCTTGTTTCTTTGTTTGGAAATGATTGATTTGCTTTAAAATTTGAGGGGAAGGATGGTCTTGGATATTATTAACCTGCCGTGGAATGTTCCTGTGATGGGCAGCGTGGAGGAGAAGCTGCCTGGGGAAAGGCTGTAACCTTGTGCATGAGGGATTGTCACCCTTGGTGTTTGATAGGATGGTGTTGTTTCTTTCTGGGAGATATCACTTGGGAAGTTTTGCTCCAGGATGGATAGCAGATGGTGTCAGCTCAGTTTTTTTTTTGTTTGTTTTTAAGTACATAGATGATTCACTTGATTGGCTGGATTAAAACAACAAACAAACTGAAACCATTCCTGGCCCAGCTGCTTCCAGCTATGCTGCAGTTGGCCATCCCCTATGCTGTGCAGTTGTGACTTCTATCAGGCTGTGCAGTTGGCTGAATAACCAGTGCTGCAGGATAAAAACTTCTGGGGATGCAGCAGGAAACGTGGAGCTGCAGGCAATTTCTTAATATGATTTTATATTGGAAGCTAAGACTTCATACAGTCACACATACGAGCAAAATCTAGAGATGGTCTGTGAGTGAAGATGCTTTTAATCTGTAAGCATTGCTTAGGTGGATGCAGGATGCTTTCTGTCACCACCCAGTGCCACCAGCTCCTAAGAGCACCTAGCACTCAGGTGGGCAGTTCCCCTAATCCAGCCTGGCTAAGTACAGGAGGCACAATCTCAAGTGATCTTGTGATGGAGACAGTGGGGTTTGAAGATGATGGTCCACTTACACCACACGTGGCACTAGGGATGCTGCCATGGCACCAAGGCAGAGTCAGACAGAGGATGCCCTGGTTCTATGGACACCTTTTCAACAGTGGATGGTTTGGTGGAGATGCCATCATTCAAGCATGTCTGTTGACTGAAGGAAGGTGCTTTTGGGGTTGTTGGTGTGTGTGTGTGTGTGTGTGTGTGTGTGTGTGTGTGTGTGTGTGTGTGTGTGTGTGTGTGGGACCATCCCTGCTCTCCTTCCCTGAAGGACGAATTTCCTCACCACCCACCTGCAGGCAAGCTCAGCATGTGGAATTAGCTGAAGTTGGAGATGTGTGCTTGCATGTGTTTATTTTTTCATTTCTTTTGAAACAATGATGTTGTGGTGGCTGACAGCTAATCCTAAATTTGGGATACCTGACATTGTAACGAGAAAACAAACCTTCCCTGCACTTAAAATGAGTGACAGGGCAGGTCTGGCCCCAGCAACCTTCAGAACTCATTTGACCTTGCAAGCAGAGTTCTGGGGCTGACTGACAGCCCTTTACAGCCGCATTAGAGCCAGGCTGACCTTTTTTTATCTGGGGATTCACCTGGGAGACAGCAGACATGTCCAGGGATATTAAGTCTCAAGCTGAAAATGTTTGCTCAGGTATTAGAGGGAGAGTTAATTTAGACTGAATGCCTCCTCGGTGGCACCAGCTCCTGCTCCAAGGGACAATGCACCCCTTGGCCGATGACAGTCAGAGACTTTCTTTAGAAATTGGGCTCCTTAGGATAGAGATGGAGTGGAGCCACGCAGTCTGAATTTCCTTTTGTGCTTACTATTTTTGGATAAAAGTGAGCCCATGTGAAGGTGCAGAAGCAAATGTTGTTTCTCCCTTTGTCCCTGCTGAGGCTGTGCCAGGTCTTCCTCGTCTGCTCTTTGGGTTGATCTTTGCTACCACTCAACCTATATGGACACTTATGCCTAAATGTGTGACGTGCTAGATACTAGAGGATCCGTGGGGATGGTTCTCCCTGTGAAATGCATGGGGAGATGGCTATTGCTATGCTTCAGCAGATGAGGCATCGTGATGGGGCTGCAAGAATAGGAAAATAAAAGCAGAAATGTTGGAAACCGTGTGCTGAGCTAATTGGTGTTGACAGTGCAGGTCTCTGTGGTGTGACATCCTCCCAGGTGGCAGCCAGTCCTGGTGCTGAGGAGAGTTGTACTTAGTCTATTCCTTCTTGCAAAATCGTCTGCTCATTGTCATGTACCTCGAATCCTGAATGTTTATTTCTCTTTCTGCCCCCACCTTGCTCACCTTGCCCTTCTCAGACTCCCTCCTTGGAGCTGATGGCCAACTCAACCCTTAAGTGATGTCTGGGAGCTCAGTACAGCATAGACTCTGCAGTCCATCTGCATGTCCATGCTGAGCCATCCCAGCCTGGGCACCGAGCCCGGCGTGCAGCAGTTTAACAGCAGCCCCTGTGGCCTCCCTATGCTGGCGAGGCTGGGATTGTGCTGCTGAACTATTTATTTAAGAAAAAAAATATTATCATTTCAGGCGTCGGCAGCGTGGGCTGCATCAGCCATTGTATCAAAGATGTGGTTTTAATGCCCTTTCCTCCGCTTAAATGTTATTTGCCTTCTCCTTCAGGCAATTGAATTTAAGAAAACTGCTCGCCCAGGTTTGGATGGGCAAATTGTCCCCCTCTGCACAAAATTCCCAGGAGGAGCCAGCTCTGCAGAACTGCCAGGAGCTGTCACTTCAGTGCACGGCCAGGCTGGGCTGAATGGATTACCCAGCTCTGCATCGTCTGCTCTTTTATCTGTCCCACAGCACTGGGAAGCCAGGAATAACCCCCCGGGGGTCCCTCTGAGCAGCAGTTTCTGTAGCTCAGGGTCAGATGGTTGTTATTGCTGCTAAAGGTGTTTAACCCCGATTGATTTTGACAAGCCCTCTTAGTAGATCCCCCAGTTACTTATTGGGTTTTCAGAGGAACGTTGTCAGTGTAAGGCTCTGTGCTCTGACCCCATCCTGCTGACAGGATGTGGCTGTACCAAATCACAGAATCATTAAGGTTGGAAAAGACCACTGAGATCATCCGGTCCAACTGTCAACCCGTCAAACCTACCTCGATGGATGGAGGAAGAAATCCCCGTTAATCTTCAGACCAAATCGTGACCCTTCCAAAAGGCACCTTGGAGGTGGCATAGACAGGCTGGGATGCAGTGCTGCTGGCTTAAGGAATGGGAGCCATGATGTCCCCCACCCTTGGGGCAGCTACGGTTAGGAAAGACCCCAGTTGGCTTGTTGGCTGGTTGGGGATGCGTGGCAGCAGCTGCCAATGGTGGATCACAGGGGGGGAAAAAAAAGATTACACGCTATTTCTGCATGCCCAAACCTTGTGTTTATGACCAGTGTGGTTGAATTCCCAGCCCCAAAGCCCTGCAGGCTGGGGCCCTGGCTGGGCAGACAGGGAAGCTGTCCGGAGCCTCCTGTCTGTGAGAAACGCCAAACGCTGAGCTCTGAGGCTCACATCCCAAAGACGATTGAGATCATTTGGAAGTGAATGAGAGTTATGTGCTTAAGTAATCTCAGAGGATCCGGGCATAGCAACACTGGTGATTTAAAATATGTGATTTATTTTTTTTTCCTTTCTAAATGCAGCGACTGGAGGGAAAAAAAGCATTATCATGGCAAGGGAAATCGCTGCATCGGACTAGTATGTACAGGTGGGAATGAGGGTGTCGGGGTCACTGGGGCTGGGCACTTGTGGCTGTTATATGCGCAAAAATGGGCTTGCCTGGAAGTTGCTTTGGGCAGCAAAGCAAACAGCTTCCTGGAAGCCCTGCGAGCCCCGTGCTTTGCTTTTGCATCACTGTTGCTCGGCGATGGCAGGCACAAACTGCCTGGGGTGTCTGATGCTGCTCCCAGCCAGCGCCTTGCTGCTCCTCTGTGATGCTGGGTGACAAACACGCTGTGAAACAGTTGGATTGTAACATTCACCATCGGTGTGCCAGGCCAAGGGAGAGCTGTCAGTGGTCTTTCTTTTTTCTTTTTTCTTTTTTTTTTGCCAGTTGTTTGAAAGACCAATGAACTTCAGTGTTCTGCAGAAACAAAAGCATTGAATGTGCTGTTTACAGCCAATTCCCTCATCCTTCAACGAATGGACAGGTTTACAAGCCACTTATTTAAAAAAGAAGAGGCCCTCATTAATCAACGGCACTTTTATTGTTTCTTAATCATTTGACAGCAATTCAGAACCATTTCTTGTTTTCTATTATGGGCGTATTTGCATTTCTGGTGCTCATTCCCCATGTACTATCTCTGAAGATAATTTTCAATTTGAGAACCACTCGTGTTCTTCCAAATAAAGGATGGTATTTACTTGGAAAATATCTCTTTCAGATGACTGCTTTCAAACAGCCAGTTCCTTACCCTGTTTGGAGTCATTGAAGTTTTTGTTTGTTTGTTTTATTGCAGTCTCTTTTAGCCCAAGCCTCCAGAAATATGGGCAGCCGAGGCTTTTGCTGTAGGTGTTGGAAGCACGCAGTGGAGATTTTGGCAACTGGTGTCCTGAGCAACTTTGTGGAAGTCACCCAATGTTTAGGATTTGGAAGATACTGGTGACGTGGAGAAGCAGAGATGGATCCCCCTTCTTGCACATGGGGGTGGGGACAGTAGTGGAAGGAGATGTTCTGCTCCATGCTCCATTTTAGGGACATGGTTACAAGGTTACCTTGGTGGAACAGGGATGGTTGGATGGGATGATCTTAGTGGCCTTTTCCAGTCTTAATCACTTCTGTGTCCTAGCCAGCTCTCCCACGCTCCTGTAGATATGGAGCTGGTTGGTTCCAAGCATGGGACATCTTAAGCCACAACCTCACTTTTTGGCAATGCCTCGTGAACTTCTCAGGGTTTGAGGCCTTGAAATGAGCTCAGTTTGTGCTGTTTTTTTTTTTCTTGTCTGGCACCACAATGTTTAGGGAAATGCTGATGTGGATGTGAAAGCTCCTGATGATGGCTGGTGTGGGTCATGGGGCAGGAACAAATCACTTTCCCACTAGGGAAAGGTCATCTGTGAAATTTTACAGACAGTTCTCCTGTTCTCTAAATACCCTCTTCCCCCTGGCTTTCTTTTTTTTTTTTTAATTTTTAATTATTTTTTTTTTTTTTCAGTGTGTGTCAGCCCAAGTGCACTCAAAATGTGAGCAGGGTCTGACACAAGGAGGGTGAAATGAGATAATCCATGTTTTCACCATCCATAGGCCTCTCTTTTCACAGCCCGTGGGCCGTACTTTATTAGGCTGAGCAGCTCTGGGCCTGCAAGAAAGAGGAGGACTTTCTCATCCCGATGAGAATGGGGCAGTGAATGGATTCCAAGTGTTTACTCAGCATTTGTCTCGTGGTTTATCAAAGGCATGAGGAGGAGGTGCCGACAGACCTTTTGTCCTGCTGATGTGTTATGACAATGTTCCATGAATATGCAGAATGGCAGAAGGGATTAGAGCCAGTACAATTCCCCTCCGGCACTGCTTTTTTTCCTCTTTTTTTTTTTTTTTTTTTTTTTTTTTTTTTTTTTTTTGCCTGGGATGTTCAGGGGTTTAAGGGTGACCTGTTTGCAGTCAGGGCACTAAACATCAGATTTCTCTGCAGATAGGGGTATAAAAATCCCACACTTGTCCAAAGCTGTTAGCATCTGACTTGAAGGCTGGGCTGCTGTGGTTGCTGCTGCTCTTTATGAATCTCTGCCTGGCTGAAAGCTTTGTGTTGTAGGAGACAGGGGGATATTGGGGTGTAATTAAAACCTGAGTCAATCAGTGACACGTGAAGCCCAGGCCAATGGTGATGTGGCTGCTGCCTTTTGGTCTGTGGCTGTTGGTGTGGGCTGTTGGCAGTGCACTGCAGTGCTCTGCTGCATCTCAAAGCCCTGGTCCCATAATTTCAGAGCTGTGCAGCCAGAAGTGCTGGCATCTGTCGGTGATGCTCCCCGTGTGTCCCTTTGTACAGGTTAATGAGTTCATGCACCTCCAAGGCAAATGGTGGATATTTTCAACATGGGGAGGTGGGAGTGTTGGGTATAAGCTCGTACTATCCTCTTTTCTGATCCTTCCTCTCCAAGTGATGCTGTTTAGCAATGGTCAGCAGCTGCCATCTCCTCAGGTGCATTCTGTGTTGTTGAGCAAAGATGTCCCACGTGAAAAACACCCTCCAGTAGTTTCCTAATTCTTAAGGCTTTTTCCCATCCTGCTTCCCAAATGGTTCATCAGGAAGATCCCCAAATATAGGACGGAAATGGTGACTGCATCCTGCATGGGCCACTGAAAGAGACAGAGCCTCCTGGCACTGCACTGCTGCAATGTGCTCAGCACTTGCTGGAATCCCTCTTCAGCCCCTTGGGAACACAGGCAGTAATTGACCTAATGAATTCTGATGTAATTAGCCCAATGCCAGCTCTCAGCTGGTGGCCCACGAGTGCATTTGGCAAAGGCTTCGATGTCTGCTGCGCCTGTGCCTGCTGATGGAAGATATGTGCTGCTGTTTGGTTAGTTGTTTGGTCTCCTTTTGGTGGAGAGATGACAGTGTGTCTACAGCAGCCAAGGGCCGCAGTCTGGCTGTGCTAACATCCTTTCTGTAGGCTCTGAACAACACTGGGCTGTGCTCCTGGCAGCTGGCCATCATGGACCCAAAGCTTTTCAGGCTTCTCCCTCAGGCAGACAAACTCTTGAGATTAGCTCAAAAAGAAATGGGGCATCCATCCCATCCATCTGCTTTTTCACCACCATGAGCAATGCTAGGTCATTCTTTGCCTTCTGGGTTGTGCAAGAAGGATCGTGGTTTTCACACTGAGCTTTGCAACCAGGGCTTCTCAACCATGGTCCAAGGAAAAAAAAAAAAAAAAGAATAATAATGAAATGTGAACAAATCCTTGTCCATCTGAGAAACCTGTGATGGAAACATGATTGGTAACCCTGGGATGGGGGCCAGCCCCTGTCTCTCAGGATGCTTACAGCAAGGCCACCTGCCTGGTAAAAAGCTTTCCCTGATGCTCTGTTTGTTGTCCATCCCCTGGGTTTTTGTTGGCTGCCCACATGCATCCCCCAGCTCCTTAACAAGACAGCAAGCAGCGAAAGAATAATTAGCAACTGCCAGCCTTGGGCCTTTGTGACTCTGCAAGGCAAAGCCAGCTCTGTGTTGCCTATGGGATTTCCTAACACAAGTTGGGCAGACCAGTGAGCTGAGTGTTAGTGCTGTGGGGTGAGGGTTGTGAGCAGGAAAAGTGGGTTGTGGAACAGCCCTGAGAGCTGCAGGCATGACGATGTAAAGCCAATGGAAGGAGATGTTGGAGATCCAAGCCTCTCTTATAGATAGACCAAGCCTGGCATGGGCTCATCCAAGCAGAAGTAATTAGGCAAATCCCATGTCCTGACAAGGCAAGATGCAGCTGGGTTTGTATCCACTGAGGCAGGAGCAGAAGTGATGTGTGGGGATCTCCAGAACTAAGAGGTGATGGGTGAACTACAATCTACTTTTCCTGTGCACCCAACTCTGATGGGATCTGGTGCTGGTGTCATCTGCCTCCCTGCATCCAATGCTGCTGAGATGTGGAGGTTCCCATCCCACATGGAGGATCCCGGTGACCACAGCTTTTCAGAAGTGGAGAAGGTTTCAGTGGATTTCTGTGGACCTCCAAAATAATGAAAAGGTTTCTGGGTTGATACTCCCAGCCCCAAGCAGGACTGAGCAGGGATAGTTTTGGCTAGGAGGAATGTGAGACAAACGCTGTGATTCACAGTTGTCCAGTCTGATTTGAGTCTGAATTGCCTCTCTTGCCTTATCATGGGGAAATTATGTGGTGAGCAATGGCCTGTTGTGGCTGAAGACCCTTTTCTTGAAATTTCCTTTTGTGTGAACTTTTAGTCATCGATCATCTGTGGGATGCTCTCAAAAGCAGACGAGGTCTCTAAAATCTAAGCCAGGATATCTCCTCTCTAGAAAATCAACTTCTCCAGCAGCACAGATATATGACAAGATGTCCCCACTTTGGGCAGAAGGGCTGGGGAATGTGGAGGCAGGTGTCCTGCTCCTGGCCTTGTCCCTTCTGCCAGGCGTTAGGACGTGGTTCTAGGAGATCGCTCTCCAAGCAACATCACACTTGGTTCCACCACCTCATGAGCATCTCCATGTGAGATCCTTCCTTTGCCTGCACTATCAGGATGGGACTGACAGAGGTGCCTGGCCAGGCCAAGGGGGATTAAAGAGCCTTTGTTTCAAAAGCATTTTAAACAGAGTGAAAAAACCCAACCTGCCAGCCCAGCTACAGGCAGATGGGGTGGAAGGTACAAGACAGAGGGAAATTCTCCATGACAGAGGTGTGCTCCTGGCCTAAGGGGAGGGAAAAGGCCATTATGTTAGGAGTGAATGAAATCACTCCTGGCAGGAGCATTACCAGAGGAAAAAGAGAGTGAGTAGGAAGTAAGCAAGATGGGATTTCAGCTGTCTGCCTGGGCTTGCAGCTAATCAGTCTGGTGGTGAGAGGAGGAAATGAGCCTAGTTGCCTGTTTCCATGATGGAAATGCCAAAATTTCACGTATGAGCCTTGCAGAATGACCGTGCAGGATGACAGGTTTTAACCATCTCCCTGCTCTGAGGAACCTGGACAGGGCTCTGATGGGGTGGGGTGGTTTCTAAGCGATACGCCAAAGTTCCTTGCAAAGATCTGCTCTTGTAGGGGATGTTCCCAGTCATGCTGTGTCATGGTTTCTTCACCATTTCTGTGGACCATGTAGCTGGAATCCCTCATGAACAAGAGGGCATACATGGATGTGCTCTGCTCTGAGCAGTGTTCTGTTAGGGCAGCTTCACCAAGAGACTATTCTCTGACCTGTGCTGTGATTGTACTGCAGCAGTCATAGTGGCTTCTTAGTTGTTTTATGAAAACAGATATCTATGTGTTCCTGATTAAACCCTGTGCACAACTGTGGCTCTTTGCTCTTCTCAGTGTGTTGAAGGCAGTGGGAGGGATTGCTGAGCCACCAGCTTGGTCTTGCCTTGTGCTTGGGTTTTGGCAATGGGATGTGGAGATGGGGCAGAAGATAGACTTTTATAAATAATTTCAGGAGAAAAAGTAAATTTAAATATTGATGTCCCCCACATTGTGAGGTTTTACTTGTAAAGAAAGTACTGAAGTTCATGGAAGTCAAATCTCTAAAACTCAAAACCAAATTTTGCCCTTGGAAGTCATGGTTTTCTGTAACTTCAATCTTTTTCTATTTTCCTTCAGTTTAAATAAATTCATGCTTCACTTAACAGTATTATTTTGGGAAGAAAATCTTAGATAGCCATCTTGGGGGAAAGACTCCACAAAGGTGAAGAGTGGCTTATAAGGTGGTTGTTTTTTTGTTTTGTTTTGTTTGGGTTTTTTTGGACACTTTTTCCCAGGGTTCCCAGCTTGGTAAACACTTTGCTTATACTCTCTGTGAAGAAAGAGGAGCTGAGATGTGATGGGAGCTTCTGCAGAGTTCTCTGCCTGGGAGCTGAGAGCATGACTGGATTCAGGCAGCGATGTGATGAGGCTGGGAATAGGGATGGGTCCAACTGCTTCCATATCAAAGCAGTACTACCTGGCCAGCTTTCAGCAAAGGAAACCCACCTATGTTTGGTTGTTGCTGAAGTATTTCAGTGCCAGGTGTGTGTCATGGCAACATCCCCCAGAAATCCTAGCTCAGATGCTGGGGGATGCTTTGGGTTGCTTGCTGCAGCAATTGGTGGGAGGGGAACTGCAGAGCTCCTCAATCCCATACCCATAGCTTGTCCCAGGGTGGCTGAGGTACAGAGAAAGCGTGGTTTACTCCCTCTGCATTGTGTCATTGTAAAGAGAGACTCATCCTGTTTGCGTGGTTGCCGTCTTTTATTACTATCCTATATCACCCCGAGTGATAAAGCACGTGTGGGAATTAGTGTCTGTCCGTTTTGGATTTCCTTGCTCACTGCTACAACTCTGTCTGTTTCCTGCCTGTGTGCTCCTGCCCACCTCTGCCCTGCTGCTTTATCCATCTGTCAAAACCAGTCTGACATCTGGGCCTCAATGCTGCGAGGCTGGGAGTGCTGTGAACAGTCCCAGCAGCTCCCAGGTGACCCCACACCAGCTGGAGTCAGACTGAAGTCCAACAGGGGGCTTCTCCCACGATGGATACAATTACATCAGAGCAGGGCCTTGGGCTATGAGCACCCCTACGGGGTGGGTCTTTGTGTCCTGTTGTCCAGATGAGATCATTTTTCCTTTGCAGGTGCAGGTAACTCCAGACCCAGTCGTGGTGTTGCATTCTCACCTCCAAATCCTTTTCTGATGTTTAGGCCGCTAAAATAAAGAGGAAAAGAGTAATGCGATTGCTTGTGGGACCAAATAAGAAAAGCTTTGTACCTTTTAACTCTTTTTCCTTTCAATCTGCTTCTTGCTGTATCAAGATGCATACCGCTCTTTGTCTCTGCGTGAAGATCTCAGCAGTGTGAGCCTGCACAACTGGAGGTTTCCATCCCCAGGCAGTTATTTTCCGTAATTCAGACACAAAATCAAGTTATATTTCTCCAGGAGCACACATTTGTGTCTGTGTCCTTTTCCCCTGGTTCTCCTGAGGTGAATGAATGGTCCCTGCCACGCTCTCTACTTCCTGCCTTCACTCTGAAGAACTGTCTTCCATTTAAGCAGAAGAAAGCTATAAAGAAAGAACTTTTACATACAGCAAGTGCTCTTCCTGATTGTGTTGTTGTCTGCGTTTGGCAGAAGGGACATGGTGGCAGTTTACCTGATACTAGCAGAAGATCAGTGGCCAACTAGGAGTGGACCCAGCATGGCTCGATTGGACCATGTGTTTCCCTGCTTGAACCCTAAAAAGAACAGGTGAGCTATGAATGGAAAATAAGATAAGAAGAAAGACACAGATAGGCACAAGTGAGAGAACAAGTGATGGTGAGAAACAACTTGGATGATGAATTCTAACTTGGGCTGTAAAATAGAACCACCAGGAATTGCTTAAAGGAAAGGAATGGAGAAGAGCTTGGAAAATGTCTTTTAGCTACTCTGCTATTGGAAATACTTCTAGCTAAAATGCAAAGTTGAAGGTTGTGATTTATTATTTTTTTTTACTGCTCATGGGATGTGAGAGATCTGTCAGCACATTAATGGCTCAGGCATCTCCACCTGTCTTAATGGGATGTGGATGTGTGGCTGTATATCAAGCTGTGACGTGGCTGTAAAATTCCCCCATCTTGTCCAGCCTACTATAGTGTAGATGGGGTGTGAGGCACAGAGGAGATGCTCAGTGGCAGATGAGGATGCCATGAAAGCCCAAGGCCAGTTGTAGTACTGGCAGGGCTGGCCATCAGCTCTGAAGTATAGGGTGTGACATGAAGAGTTTCAAGTGTTTTCCTCAAAACCCAACAAAGCTTTCTGAGTGTGGTGCATGCCTTCAGCCCCAGCCACCTACAGTGATGGAGAAGACCCCCTGCCCCTATACAGCCCCAAAATACCATATCTGCCAGGCAGCCCTGAGCTGTGTGCATCCCTTCCCCCACTCTCACGGGGAAGATGAAAAATCCTTGTCTGGTTTCCTCACCCAGCTCTCACCAGGAGACTGCAGAGGAATTAAACCGGGGTTCTCACTGAGCAGAGGAACTCCAGCTCACACTGCCGCTGTGTCCCGGCCCGGGTTGAATGATTTTCCCAGAGAGAAACAAAACGAAATCCAAGCAGTGCGAAGGTTCTGGGAGTGGCTTACCTGCTCTTGGGATGGGGGCCGGCTGTGGGATGAAACTCGCCTTGCTTTGGTCGACGGGACTCGCCTGGTTTTGTTATCTTTTTCCTCGGAGGAAAAATGAATTAAAAACCAAGAGAGCGCCCCGGAAAATCACCCAGCCTGCTCAGGAGCGGATTTCCCCTGGGGGCATCGCTGCCAAAGAAAACCCCAGAGAGAGGCCGGGGGATTTACCCGTGGGAGAACGGTCCCATCCTCGGCGGCCTCCCCCCCGCGGCCCCCGGGGAGAGGGGCCGGGCTCCGGGGTGGGTTGGGGGGGCGGCCGCCCTATATATTACAAAGCAGCTCGGGGCCCTGCTCCCCATAGCCGGGTGCTGCCGCTGCGCTCATTCCCCCTTTTTCCCTTCCCCTCCCTTTCCCTTCCCCCTTGGGCGGGGGGCTTTTACTCCTTCCGCCCCCCCCGCTTTACCCCTACCCCTCCGGCCGTATATGAACGCGGCCGGCTTCCCCTGCCTGCGAGGCATGTGCACGCTGCCGGCGGCCGGCCCCGCCGCCTCGGCCAGCCCCGGCTCTCCCGGGCCTCCCCGGGGTTCCACCCCCACCTCCCAGGTGAAGCCGGAGCCGCGAGGTGCCGGGAGCAGCTCCCCGCTGCCTCCTCCGCCTCCCGAGGAGCCGCCGCCTCCCGCCGGGGGCCGCCGGAGGAAACGGCCGGTGCAGCGGGGCAAACCGCCCTACTCCTATATCGCCCTCATCGCCATGGCCATCGCCAACGCCGCCGAGAGGAAGCTCACTTTGGGGGGCATCTATAAGTTCATCACCGAGCGCTTCCCTTTTTACCGGGAGAACCCCAAGAAGTGGCAGAACAGCATCCGCCACAACCTCACCCTCAACGATTGCTTCGTCAAGATCCCCCGGGAGCCCGGCCACCCCGGGAAAGGCAACTACTGGACGCTGGACCCTGCCGCCGAGGACATGTTCGACAACGGCAGCTTCCTGCGCCGGAGGAAACGCTTCAAGCGCACAGACATCACCACCTACCCTGGCTACATGCAGAACTCCAGCGCCTTCACCCCACCTCCCGCCGTCCGCCCGATGGCTGCCGCCGCCCCCTACCCAAATGCCCTCTGCTCGCCCGCCTACAGCCCGCAGCTCTCGGGCACCGTCTTCCATCCCTACGCAAGCGGGGTGGCACCGCCGGCACAGCACTCGCGGATGTTCAGCATTGACAGCCTGATCAGCGGGCAGCAGGCCCTGCAGCCCTCGCCACCTGCCGAGCTGGCCCACCCCTCTCTGGGCTTAACTGGGACCGAACTAGCCCCCAGCTGCTCCGCCGGCACCTCGGAGCCTCCCTGCTTCCAGCCGCAGCCCGTCAGTCCTGGTTTGCTGAGCCGAGCCGGCCCCAACGCTTTGGCATACCCCTATGCTGCCTCGCCGCCCCATCTACCCGTAGGGCAGGGCAGCTACTCACCCGGCAGCCCACAGCTCTACGGGGCTTCCAGCAGACTGGCGCTGCCCACTGTGCGCCCCACTGCCTGCCCTGAGCACAACGAGCAGCTGCTGGGGCTCCCCGCATCGCCCCTCGGCCAGTTCAGCTCCGGCAATGCCTATGGCAGGCAGCCCAACTTCACCACCGGCCTGGAGCGGTACATGTGATGGGTCCAAGGATGGATGCGCCAAGGATCCCGTGGATGGATGTGTGAACACGTCCCCATAGTGGGGATTGAGTGGGTGGGATGAGGTTCCTGCTCTTTGGCTGTGTGCAGACACAACCCCGTGTGCGCGGTGAAGGGGACCAAAATCTGACTCCTCTTTCCCAGCTGTGTTTAGTTGGAGAGGAGGTTCCTCCTGGAGGCAATGCTCGCATGGTGCAATGGGCAGGAACCCCAAAAGCAAGGAATGGTCCAGAAAAGGGCTTTCTCCTCTTCCCTGGGTGCTCATTCGTCACTGGAATGAGTCACCAAAAAAACCCCACTAAACCAATTTTAAAACAATATCTAAGGTGTTTATCCTCTTATTCCCCCATAGGAAAAAACAAAACACCTTGACTACTTCTTTTTTTCTATGTTGAAAAATGACTTTCACTGTTAGAAAAGACTTTTTTAAAATAAAGCTTTTCTTTCCAACCTGTCCAGTGCTGCCATTCCCCTGCTCCAACCAAAGGAAATCCTCTGCTCATGTTATTATGCTGCTGTTGTGCCTCCACTGCAGGACTTATACTTTTAGCAATGCTTTTTAAAGCTATTTTATATGTTTGGTTTTGTTTTTTTTTTTTAATAAAAGTGAATGGGAGCTAAGTGCTGCTGAGCTGTGGGAAGAATGCAGTTGAGCTCTTCATCACCGGGGAGCTGCAGAGTGTACCTTTCCATTGGCACAGCAGGAGTCCCTTGCAGGTGATACCCCTGTTTAGCACCCCAAATCGGATCAGACCTTTCCTCCCTTGGCACAGCATCAATTAAAACCCAATGCATTCACTGCCCATCCTGGTGCTGTTTATTCATAGGACTGTCCCCAGTGCCTAGCCAGGCAGTAAGGCAGTGTTCCCTGCTGCTGGATTGTGTCCCCGTGGTGGGAGCTCTCACTTGTGCCTCTTCATTTATCCTATGCATGTTGTAAGAATTGAATGTGACGTTGGTGTGGAAGGGGAGAGAAGAAGCTGCTTTTCTCCAGGCTGGGGGCTACAGGCTGGCAGTGCACAAGGGGGTTCCTAGGGCAGAGCCAGGTGCCGTGCAAAGGAAAAATGGTGGTGGGGCGGGCAGGTGGTGCTGCAGTTCTCCAGACTTGGTGCTTGGAAACCTAGTGCTGTGCTGAGCCTGCTCTTCCCCAGTCCCACTGGAACCTTGCATAGGTGGTAGCAAAAAGACATGGCTTGGGGAGAGTGGATGATCCCAAACTGGTCCGTGGTCCAGATGCTGGGGGGCAGCACCCAGATGCTGAGATACCCAGATGTTGGGGTGCAGCATCCAGCTGTGGGTCCCCCGAGGCCCCCTTCAGGCAGCCCCAGCACCCCACAAGCAGCACACAGCCCCCTCGCTGCAGGCTGTTAGCCAAAGAGGCTGCGAAGTATAGAGACCAGACCCCTTTTCTTCTCCCTTCAGATATTAATCCCCCCGTGCACAAGCCTCTGGCACTCATATTGTGATTGTCATTGCACTAATGCCTTAAGAGTGTCTTCTTGGTTAACTTAATGTATCCCAACTAGGATTTAAGCTTTCATTTCAAAGCTTTGTTTACAGTTAGGGTGAATCTAGCAAATGAGTAGGATTAAGGTGTCATGTAAAGCATGAGCTGTGCTGAGACAGAGTAGTTTTAAGCTTTGTAAAGTTTATGCCTGTGCCCTTCGCCTGTTTTAGTGTCTTTTCAGTATATGTGTTTCATGAAAAAGAGGGATTTGAAAGAAATAGGAGTAATTATCAATCAGATGTGGGCTGTGAAACCGAGTCTCCTTTGAAATCCTCTGCTCTTTACTTAACAACATCCAGGGAGTTCAGAGAACATTAAGTAATGACATGCATAACCATCCCCAATCCAACACACACAAAAAGCCAGAGGCAAAACTTTCTTTGCTCTCTGCTATTGTGCAGTGAGTGTGATCCTTTGGGATCAAGGGTGCCAAAGAGATTGGTTTGGTGATGGGGCCATCGCAGGTGGCTTCTCACAGAGGAGCCCTTAAAAAATTGGGGTGGATTTACGTCTCTTATGTTTGGAACCAGGAGTTGTTTTCCCTTCAGAAATCCCAACAGCCCAGGGAGCACTTGGGTGCAAACAAACAGGGCATTAGCTGGGATTGTAACAGGAGTACATTTCGTGAAGGACTTGTTGGTCCTCCAGTAGTGTCTGATTCTGTCTGGATGCTGCCAGTTGTCCACTGCCAACTCCAGGAATGGACATTTTAGACATTAATGACTTTGTTTTATGCAATGCTTTATCCCTTATGAATACATCACTTGGAGAGGGCCGAAATTTTCTCCATCTTAAAGGAAGAGGTCAGGTCTGAGCCTTTAAATCCAGCCAGTGGTGGGCAATGGGTGGTGGTGCAACCAGCAGAGATGGACTCTGTTGTCTGATGAAAGCTTGGAGTAAATTGGTGTAAGGCAACAAGGGCTGGCTGAGCATTGTATCTTTGGGGGGAGGGGGTTGAATCATCACCTCTACCCCCTCATATTTAGGTTCCCTTATACACCACACAACCCTGACTTTGGCCTCTCCACAAGTGTGACGCGATGACCAGATCACATCCCGCAGCCAATGTGGCGCTGCTGTCCCACCCCAGAACCCTTCTACAAACGCATCCAGGGGCTCCATCAATGCCGACCCCGGGACAGGGACGAGGTGGCCCTGAGTGACAGCCCCCGTGCTCGGGCCAACACTGACCTCCAGTGGAAATCCCTGGGAAGCCGCTCCCGACCGGCTCGGGGGGGAGGGAGGGCTTACAGAGCCCCTGAGCTCCCCCTCACCAGCCTCATGCTGGGCAAGGGGACCTGAGGGTGCTCCTTGTGTGGCCTTCTAGCATTTGTCCTCATCGAGACACAGCAGGGTGTCACGGAGGCTTGGGGGAGACCAGAGGGAATGGGATTCACTCAGAATTATTTATCAGAGCAGCAAGTGGGATGCAACCTCCAGGCTGGGAATGGGGACCTGCAAGCTCCTGGGAGAGCGTCAAAGTTGTTTATTTCCCAGTCTCGTCACTGAGACTAAGAAATTGTAACACTGCAATAGGTCTTTTATGCATGTATTGAAGTAACCCTGTAACACCCAACACCAAGAAGCAGCCCTGGCCCATGTTGCATGGAGAAAAGGTGCACCTGAGCTGGTTATGTACAACGCCTGGGAATGCTCTTTTCCAGTTTCCATCAGCTCTGCTGGCTGGAAGGAAACAGCGTATGATGTCAGAGGAATTAATTTACCAGTGCAGATCAGACCAACCCATGTTTCTGGTTATGTCCTTCTCAGATATCCCCAGCTTGAGAGACAAGAGATTGAGTATCAATAAGGTGACACTGTTGCACCACGTCATTTTGATTTTCAGAAAGATGCCTCACGTGGAGATGTAACTCCTGAGCACCCCATCTGGCACTTATCCACAGCAGACACACATTTGCAGGTTAGCAAACAGGGCTGCTGGACCCATCTCCTCACTGGGAATCATACGTTCCACCATCCTTGAAGTACCCAAAGACCCAGTTTGGGAACATTCAGCTCCCAGAGCCCAAACACATCCCAAAGCTTCGGTGCATTGCCTTCTTTGCCCAGAGATGTCCAACCCATCCACTTGGCAATATCCCAATGGAGGTGATGGCAGCGAGCACGGCTCTACCTGCTGCACTGTGGGCAGCACCCACGAGGTGGCAGCCAGGTGACACCTGGACAAGAACCCACCGCCACAGTGCAGCTCCAAGCAGCATCTCAGCCAGCCCTGTCTTTCTGGGCTGTCTGCTGCTTGGATTCTCCCTCAACTGATGCTCACCATCTAAGTATAATTGCAATACAAAGTCGTTTCAGAATAGCGTGCAATAGTGGCTAATTATTTGGAACAATTATACATAACAAAGACAGAGCCAAGCAGCAAGAGGGCTTAATTGTCTGGCCAAGCATGAAATAGCACCGGATTATCGCGGACAGGGGGAGGGGATGCAGGGCAGGAGAATTGCCCCATAGAATAGGCAGGAATCCCGGCTGCTCGGGAAGGCAAAGTTTATTGAAGAACTTGAAAATTCCTCTTTGAAGCATCTTCTGAAATACCGGAGAAGACATGAAAAGGATAATGACTCAGAATATGGGCTTAGTGCACAAATCCCCACGCTGATGGACTCCAGGCTTGCAAACGCTTAAGCACATGCTTAAATTTTAAGCACATGAATGGTCCCCTTTGACGGCTCACGTGCTTAGAGTTAAGCTCAGGCATAAGTGTTTGTAGGATTGGAGCCCAGATTTTTATTACGACGAGGTTCCTCTCTGCAGTGATAGGAAATACAAGACTTATGAAGTGCACGAGCTTCCAGCATGATGCAGTGCTCAGAGGTACCTACTTCAAGCCAGGGGACACCCAAATCTGTCTCTGCATGGGGGCACCAACACTTGGGAGGTCAGGAGCAGTGTAGGCAGGAAAGGTGCAGGAAACAGCACATGAGCAACTCAGTGCCACACAGCTCCTCCTCTCCAGGTGCTTTTTGCATGAGCATGCACCTGCTTTTCCTGCAGAATAAGGTTTCCCTCATGTGAGACCTTCCCTGCTCCTTCTCTGTCCCTGAACATGTTTTGCAAGGCAAAATTGCTTTTTTTTTATAATTAATTTATTTTTACTTTTTCACATTTACGTAAGACAGCCTCCCAGTGGGCAGAAGCATCTGTCCCCATGCTTGGATCTAGATCACTGTTTTTCAGTTATCTTTAGGGCTGGATGGATTTGTGTGCTTGGGATACAAGTGTTTGGTGGGGCTGACCCTGACTATAGGAGGGTGCAAGACCCATGCTGCTGCTGCCCCCATGGACTCTCATTGCAACTCCCAGATCCAGAGATGCTGGTGGCAAGAGTGCCCATAGCAACCATGTTCACTCTTGGGTTTGGGACCACTGCTGGCTGCACTGGAGCACATTATATGATACAGACACTGTGTTATGTGCCCACTTTGTACCTCCCCCAGAGGCAGGCAGGTGCATGGGGTGTGGGAAGAACACATTTCCTTCTCCACCTTTCCATCCAAATGCCCATGCCAGGGGAAGTGGACATCCTAGTTGTGGCCCTGGAGCACTTGCTGTGATACCTCAGCACATCACCAGCCCCTCACAGCGTGCCTGTGCAAGCACCTCAGAGCAGGCTGGAGGATTTTCTCCGGAGCCAGGGGTTAATTATCCTTTATTGGATAATTTTCAGCTGCCAGTCCTGGTGATGAAGGGGATTTCCTCTAGATGGCACGCTTATCTCTGCACAGCAAGTGTTGCTGGCAGCCCACAGCCTGCTCTGCAGTGGGGTCCTGAGCCTGCGGCTGGTCCTGGGGACAAAGAGCATTTAACCCTCATCCCACTCCCATCCCCACCTGCAGCTCAGCCATTGCCCTGCTGGACCCAAGTGATGTATTTTCAGTGGGATGTTTTACCCTGATGCTTTCTGCCCTCTTCTAACGCAATTGTAAGTTGACATCTAGGCTGTGGGTTAGTGGGATGCGGTTGGCTGGGTGATGCTGAGCAGAAATCAGGTCTTTTCAAGAAGCGTAAAGCCAGATGTGAAGCATCAGCCTTCCTTCAGCAGCCCTCAGTGCAGCTTCTGCATGTTAACAGCTTTCCCTCTCTCATCCTCTGTTCAGCTTAGGACAGCAATTTCTTTTGGTGGTGTGAAGAAAAGCGCAGGGGATGTTCACAATGATCTGGAGCTGCCAGGGATGGATTTCTTGTGTGTTCATTTTACCTATTGTGCACCTATGTTATAAAAATGGAGAACTGCTCCCTGCAGTGCCAGACTGTAGGGTGACACTATAATGAGTTGGGGACACAGTGGGGCATTGTCACCCACAGCTGTGTGCTGGGAGCACTGGAGCTGAGTTTGACCACTGTGCAGCTTCAGCCCTGTTCCAGTGCTTCCTGCCTTGGTATTTTCACTTGTTTGCATCTGATAAAATGTCCACCAGCTGCACAGCCTCCTTTCTGCCTGGCTGTCATTTGCTGGATAAGGGGATGGGGTTAAGATACTGGGCTCTGCTGCTCTGCATGGCCTCTGGTGAGATGCTTCACCTCCCTTTGCAGACTTCAGACTTTTTCCCTGTTTATTCAGCTCCTTCCCAACATGGGAATAGAGGAAATCAAACCTGTGCAGTAGCAGTGTTATAGTTGCCAGCTGACGTCATCTTATCTGAAGCCAAGAGCAAAATGTATCTACAAACTTGTTTGCAGGCAGATCTGTAGGTACCAGTGCGTATTTGCAGGACTGACCTTGTACAAGATTTGTCCCAACCTCATCTCTGTATGAGGACTGCTGGATACTCCCATGTACAAAGAACATCCAGAAAGAAGGAAAAATAATAATAATAATCAGTTTCCTGGGCACATTTGGGATGACAAAATGCTAACACAGAAACCTGGACTACAAGACCTCATCACAGTTTACTACAGCCATGTGAATCTGTCCATATGGTCTTGCACTGGTGTGCCCACTTTTGGGAAATGTGATTCCTTCCCATATGGATCCCCACCCCCCAGAAAAATCCTCCCTACTATTTTCAGGGGATTGAGGGAAGAATGAAATGATTTAGCAGGCTTGTTTTCACAGGGATATTTTTCCTTGTGCGGTAGGCACCGTCACCAGGCTGTTCTGTGCGTGCTGCCATGTGCCAGAGCATAATTACCTTTCACATGCATCAGCCTTTGGCTAATGTGCTTTTTATGGCAACCAGGAGAGCTGGATTTGGTGAGTCTCAAAAGTGCACCTGGTGCTTTATGGCTCGAAATCGCTGCGCTCCTCTGAGTCATGGAAGTTTGTGTATCCATCCCTTTTCATGTCGGATTGCTGAAGAACGGTGTGCAAAGAAAAGCTTACACCAAGTCAGAGTTAATCAGTTGGGTGTTACGAGCTTGCCTGGTGGGCTTCAGGTCCGTGTGGGATGGGATCAGTAATGAAAAAAGAGCAGCAGATTAAGCTGTTGAACTCCAAGTCCAAAGCCGAGGTCCTAAACTCAGATCCCAGCACGTAACAAAGGTGTGTGAACATCTGAGTGCTGCAGGGGTGGACGGAAGCTTTTGGCATCAGTGCTCCCTGAAGTGGGAATTGGGGTCACTTGGCATCACCTGGCCATTCCCACCCATCTCCCCGTGCTGGGAGCTGCTGGGGAGCAGCTGCCACCTCACCTCGACGTTACGGGGCTGGGAATAATGGCTGTGCTGCAGGGAGCAGCGAAGGTCTGAGCCTTGGCTATGGAAAGGAGAGAAATAATATCAAAGGAAATCACATAAGTGGAAAAAGAGCCCCCTGGGGCAGCCCGGGCAGCAGCAGGTCTGTCTTGGTCATGTTTTGAGAGAAGTGAGAGGTCAGCCAAGCCTGATAACGAGGTAATACAGAAAAATCCGTCGCTGAGCCTTAGGGGACTTGGAGATGCTCTTCACGTCAAAATAAATGAATTTGGATGTTGCCCTGCCGAGGAAACAGCAATGATTAAGTCTTGCAGAGCCAACAGCCCCTCTGGAAGGACCCGAAGCCCCGCAATGCCCAAGACAGCAGGGCGAGGCTGCGGGGCCCGATGCTGCCCTTCCCAAGCAGAGTATAGGATCAGGGCTTTGCTTCGTTAAATCCCACTATGGGGGGGCCGCTCCGGCCGGGACGGGGACTTCTCGCAGCCGCGCTGATGTATTTGTCTCCTTGTAGCCGGCAAATAGAAGGGGGGGGAAGGCAAGGAACGAGCTTTGCCTCGTGGGTAAAAAAAAACCGTTTGGCAGCCGGTGGGGGTTCAGAGATGACCCCGGGAGGGGGGACCGGCAGCCCAGGGGACACTGCGAGGAGCAACCTGCCCACGGGGGCTGCGTTAGAGCAGGAGGGAAAGGCAGTGAAAGTCTATTAATAGGAGACAATAAACGCAGTTCGGAGTGTTTCGGCTGTTCCAGTTTCCCTATTGAGACTTAAGGACCGGGCAGCTTTCGACCCCAGGCGCTTCTGATAGCACAGCTTAACGTGAGACGCGAGAGAATTAGGATTAAAACAGGGGACGGCAAGGGCCGTCCGTCACAAAATATTTCAAAGAGGAGAGCAGAAAAAATTAATAATCTGCCGAAGGAAAAGAAGGCACAAGGCGTAAGGCATCACTCCCACCGCTGCACGCGTGGGGACCGTGCAGTGCTGACGACCTTTTTGGGGTCGATCTGTAGGGTTGCTGTTTCGGGACACCGCAGCGTTCCGCACTCGGAGCAATGAGCGCCCGTAGGGTCGGCTGGGTGCCCGGGATCCCAGCGGCTGCTTCATATCAGCCCAGGCTTTCCCTTTCCTAATTTCAAGACGGCTGCTTTTTAGGTACTTTTTCTCGTTTTAATTTGGTTTCCGCGGTCGATTTTGCGTGACAAAAGCGAAGAGGCACCGGGGCTCCTCCGCCGTTTTTGCGGGCGGTGCCAAACTCGGGGCGCGGCGCTTTGGGGGCAGCCGAGAGCCGCGGCGGTGCCCACTGTGCCCGGTGCTCCCGGTGCCCGGTGCCCACTGTGCCCGGTGCTCTCCGTGCCCGCCGTCCCCTCTCGTTTCGCCGTTCACAGCCCTCCCCTGCAGAGTAACAACGCGCAGCTCCCGGCGGTTCCTTTCTGCCTCGGATCGCACCGAGTGGAAATTCAATCGCCCGTTGTGTGTGTGGTCGAAATCTCTGGCAGCTGCTTCGGAATTTTTTATGACACTTTCGTTTATGTAGGGGAGGCATAACTATTATTTTACTTAATAAAAATGGAAATGGGCTCAGGTCCTTTGCCTCCCTCCCCGCTCCCTTCCATTTGTTCTCCCCACCGCATTTCCGCGGGGCTGGGAGGAGAGATGCCGCATCCCTAAAGCATTTCGCAGCGTCAGATGGGGAGAACGATCATCGATGTACGTACGTGCATGTAGGAGAGGGGCGAGTTTAAGTTGCTAAACGGAGCGTTAGAGCGGTTTAAAAGAGAAAGAACCCAGAAAAGCTCTCTCAGGACACACTCCCACCTTCGAGAGAAGCGCTCAGCCCCGTTCTGCACCGACTTTTCCTTCCGTTCGATGAATCCTTCCCGAGCGCAGCGCTGACTGCGAGGGCGGAGGATGCGCTCGGCTCCGTGCTGGGATGCGGTACCCAGCCGGTACCGGCCCGATGCACGGAGTCGTTAGGGTTTGATCGTTAGGATTTGAGTAATTATTGTGAGCGGCATTTGGAAGCGGGGCCGCGCAGCTGTTTGGCCCGGCTCCCCGGTATTAGTGCTGGAGATTTTATCACCAAATGCTCGCACCTGTTAACAGCAGAGAGCGGCAATCCATCACCACAGATTCTCACACTGCTGAGCGCAGCTTTTGGAGGGGGGCACCGCCAGCCCCCCGGATGCGAGGACTGAAATTGCAGTTGGTGGAACAGGGCAGCAGCCCGTTACCGGCTCCCGGACCCCTCGGGTTCCCAAGTGGTACCCGAAGGATTTTGGAACATCCTTTTTCCACTATCCCCTTCCTCTCAAACCGGCATCCCACCTCCCGGGGGAGAGGGAGCCCTCGGGAACGCAGAGGCTCGAAAGGAAAACCCGTGTGAGCGCGGCTCGAAGTACAGATGGGGAAAATGCGGTGGTCTCGTCTGTGTCACCAGCCCCGCGCCCGGGTGGCCACAACGCTTTGCCCTGGGAAGGGGCACGGATCTGCAGCTTTGGGAAGAGGGCTGAGTCGCCACAGGTCCCAGCTCCGCTCCTTGCACCTGCCGGGCGGCAGAGGCCCCGCGGGAGCCCTCGGGAAGGCGGCTTTCCAGGCAGGGTGCTGTCTCTCGGTGACGTGTCGGTGACGTGAGCAAGTGGAGAAAGGGAGGACTGGGACCCCAAAATCACTCCCTTCGTCCCCCCCCTACCCCCCCGACACACACACACCGGGAGGTCTGAGGGCTCAGCCCGGGGGCAGAGGGCTCCCTGCAGCCGTAGAGCGGGGGGAGAGGGGGAGGCGGGAAGGAAGGCTTGGGGGAGCGGGCAGCACCTTTCCTCGAAAGCATCCCCGAGGGGACCCGTGCAGGGCTGGGAGCCCCTCTCGGTCCCCGCTGGGGCTGCGGTGGGCTCCACGTGACGCCAGAACGGCCGTATAAAGGCCCGAGGAGAGCTCGTAGGAGGCGCAGAGTGGAAGCGTTGGTCCCCGGTCCCAGCTTGGGAGGGGTGGGGAGGGGGGGAAGCGCCTTCCAACCCCTGCCCTCCTCCCTCCATCTTCCCCCGTCTCTCCCCTCCCTCCCCCCCCTAAAAGCGGCCGGCGCACCCCCGGCATCAGATATATATTTTTATCCCCCCCCCCCTTCCTTTTATTATCATTATTACTATTATTTGTCACTGCCGCTCTCCAGCTCCCTGCCCAGCCTCCGCGCTCCCCGTCTCTCCGCCCCCGCCCCGCGCCCCCTCCGCCGCCCCTCCCTCCGCAGCCACCACCCCGCAGCCCCGCCGAGGCTCCGCCAGCAGCGAACGGGGCGCGGAGCGGCGGCTCCGGGCCGCGGAGTCCCAGCGGCGGCCGCAGCCCCTCCGACACGGCGCGGCCCCGGGCCCATCCCGGGAACCGCCGCTAGGTGGGGGGGGGAGCCCGGCCCCGGCCGCCCCGGCCGCACAACAATGACTTTGGGCAGCAGCGGCGGAGGCGGCTGCGGGATCATGTCCGAGCGCTCCCCGGAGGAAGAACCGCTCTCCGAGGTGGAGGACGCGGATATCGACGTGGTGGGCCCGCCCCAGGACGGGGGCAAATACAGCGAGGACGAGGAGGAGGACGACGACGACGAAGAGGACGACGAGGAGGAGGGCGGCGGGCCGCTGGGGCTCGCCCTGCAGCGGAGCGGGGCCGCCAAGGCGCGCATGGGGGGGTCTCCGGAGCGGCTCTCCCCCGCCGGCGGCTCGGAGCCCGCGTGCGCCCGCGGGGCCGCACCCGGGGAAAAGGCGCCCGCGGGTGGCGGCGGCGGCGGCGGGGGAAAGAACCCGCTGGTGAAGCCGCCCTACTCCTACATCGCTCTCATCACTATGGCCATCCTGCAGAGCCCCAAGAAGCGGCTGACGCTGAGCGAGATCTGCGAGTTTATCAGCGGCCGCTTCCCCTACTACCGGGAGAAGTTCCCAGCGTGGCAGAACAGCATCCGCCACAACCTCTCCCTCAACGACTGCTTCGTCAAGATCCCCCGGGAGCCCGGCAACCCGGGCAAGGGCAACTACTGGACGCTGGACCCCGAGTCCGCCGACATGTTCGACAACGGCAGCTTCCTGCGCCGGAGGAAGCGCTTCAAGCGGCAGCAGCAGCTGCACCCGCCGCACCCCGAGCTGCTGCTGCGGGCCGGGGCCGCCGATCCCGCCGCCTTCCTGCCCGGCTTCGCCTACGGACCCTACGGCTACAACTACGGCCTGCAGCTGCAGGGCTACCCCCCGGCCCCTCCGCACCACCACCACCACCACCACCCCGGCGGCGGGGGCTCCGCGGGCGCTTTCCCCTTCTCGGCGCCTCACTGCCCGTTACCGGCTCCGCCGCCTCCCTCCGCCGCCTCCGTCTTCTCGGCCGCCTCCGGGCTGCCCTCGTTCCTGGGCGGCGAGCTGAACTGCAGGAAGTCCTTCTACCACCCCCAGCTCAGCCCTACGGCCCTCCCCGCCGCCCTCCTCCAGACCCTCAAGCCGGACCCCACGCCCGCGGGCAGCGGAGGCACCACCACCACCAACCCCTCCCGGCCCTCTTTTTCCATAGACAACATCATCGGGGGGGCCGTGCCCCCGCCGCCCAGCACCAACCCCAGCGCCGCGCCCGCAGCGCCCTACCCCTCGGGCCAGGCGGGCCCCCCGGCGCAGCTCCTGGCCGTGCTCAGCCCCGCCTTGGCCCCATCGCAGCCCCACGGCGGCCTGGCCCACGAGCCGCTCCTGCAGCCCGCGCAGAACTTTTCCGCTAAAATCACAAACGTGGGCAGCTGTCATTTTTAAAGCGTGCTGCGGAGAGGAGAGGCAAAGGGAGAGGGGGTGAGGGGTGGAGGGGTGGAAGGGAGAGTCGCGAACCAAACTGCCCCTTCCCAGCTCTCCCCCAAATCTCCCCTTCCCTCTCCCCGCTCTCTTCTTCCTCCCCTCAATCTCCTCCCGTTGCGTTTGAAGGTAGGATTTTTTTTTTTTTTTTTTTTTTTTGTAATTTTATTTCCAGGCTCTGTGGCATCCTGATCTGTTTGTGTCTCTTTCGTAGGCGAAAAAGAAAAATAATTATCAGGAGGAGGGGGAAAAAAAATAACCGTATTTCACCCTGCCAGCACCAAAGCTTATTTATAATGAGGCCCTAACGTAACCAACGTTTGTGGGAGTGGGGGGGGGCAGAGAAGGGTCTGAGGGTCCGAAATATTTTCTTTGAGAGGTTCGGGAGTCTCAAAATCACAGCAGAGAATGTGTGTGTGTGTGGGGGGGGGTGGGGTGGGGTGGGGGGTTCGGGCTGTGCGCGCTCCCGGTGTGCGTTCACCTCTCCCCTTCTCTCAGATAAAATGTTTCAACGGCCCCGTCCTCTTTATTTTCTTCGAAGCTTTGGGTTTGGCTTTAAAAGGCACCGCTTTAGGGTATGTGTTGAAGAAGAAGAAAAGTCGTTGAAACTCAGGACTGCGGTTTAATTATTATTATTATTATTATTGCTATATATATTTTTTTCAATGGGACGTTCAAATGTACGTTGAAAGCAGATCCGATCCGTCTCGAAGTTCAGAGATTCCCACCCCGTTTTTTCGCTCCCCTTTTTCCGACCCCATCCTTGCGTGGGTTTTTGGTGTATCGGTAATTATTTGTATATAGATTATTCGGGAACTGATGAGCGGACTCCTCGCTGGTTGTGCATCCATCATATCTATTTTATTGAGAGAGAATCTGTGAATCGTTTCGATGTGAAAAAAAAAAAAAAGAAAGAAAAAGGGGCGACGGCTTTTTTTTTTTTTTTTTTTTTTTGGTCCACCCGTTGGTGTAAATTAATAAATGTTTGTGACCTGGTTTTAAAAGGAGGGAAAAAAAAGAGAGAGAGAGAGAGAAAAAAAAAACCACCAAAATCCAAACAACAAAAAGGAAAATGCCGATGGTTCTTTGCGATGTCCTTTGTCACGGAGCCCCGTTCGGGCCTCGGGGGGAGCGCAGCGGTCCCACCGTCGGCGCTGCGCGGTGCGCCCACAGCCGCGGGTCCGTCCGCCGTCCGAAGCCGTCGCGGCTGTTGCTGCCGTCCCTCCGGGCCAACCCCCCCCCACTCCCCCAACCCATCCCCCCCCTCCCTCTTCGTCCCTATAGCTGCCGCGAGGTGGTCCCCGCTCCGGCGCACGGGAAAGCCGCTTCCATTCTCCTCTTTGATTTTGTTTTCTCTTTCTTGCGTTTTCTTTTCGTTTCTTCGCTCGCTTTTTTGGTACCCCGCTCCAACCGTGGACCCTCCAACCCTTCCTCTCTACCCCCGCTCTCCCCCGACCCCTCTTGCTTTTATTTTGATTAGAAAAGTTGACACGCGAGAAAATAAGTTGGAAGCTTCTCTTCCCTCCCCCCCCGCCTCTCCCACCCCCCACCAAAGCACACACGTCCCTTCGGGCCCGCAGCGTTTGAATGACCGCATGAAACTCGATCACCGCCGAAATTTTGCAACAACTCAGCGAGTAAATAAACATCTCCAAGTTTTCCCTTCTCCCCCCCCCCCCCCCCCCCCCCCCCCCATTCCCCAATTTATTGACAGGGACCAAAGGCGGCCGCTCGGTTTGTTTGGCAGTGGGGACGCGGATTTAAGCACTCGGGGCCTTTCTGCCCTCCGCGGTGCGCAGCGCGGGGCTTTGTGCGGCAGCGCCGGGGGGCGGCGGTCCTTTTTCTCTCCCCCCCCTCCGGGTTCCTCCCCTCCTCTCTTCCCCCTCTGTGTGCCACCCCGAATCTCGGCTCGGTTTGTTGATGTTGTTCCCGAACGTGCCGCCTCCCCGCAGCGAGCGGTCTCACATCTCCGCTTCACACACATTTGCTTTTGAAAAGCGATCTTCGTGTCCGGCACTTGGTTGTCTCCCTTTCATGTCCAGCTCCTACAAAAGGGGCTACAAGACTCGACATGGGAGAAAAGAGGAGGCCAATGAATCTATTTTCCAGATTGCCAAGCACATGGTTGGAAATTGAAGGGGCTTTTGTAGCATTTCCCCTTCCTCCCTCCCTCCCGGCTCCTTTTTCTTTCGCTGTGCGCAAATTGTTCAATTGCTCTGGCGGGGGTGTTCCTGACAAGCTCATTACTGGAAGGTGCCAGACCCCTCCTCTCCCTCTCCCCGAAGTCTTTGATGAAGTTAAAACGCGCTGATCGCCGCTCTCGGCGAGCTTTGTTCAGCCTTTAATAGCCGAACCCGCTTTGAGCGCACGGGAGCGAAGGGAAGAAAGCGGTGTGCGCTGGGGTTGCTCTGTGTCTGGAAGGGAGGGATGGAGGAGATCTTTTAATATAAAGTAACGATTTAAATATATGTATATATATATATATTGTTTTCTTCTTGTTGCTTTGCTAAGCGAGTGCGGAAGATGAGCAAAGAGTGAGAGGATAGGAACCGGAATCCGTGCGCACGGAACGCCGCGTCTCGCCCTGCAGCCCCCGCTGGGGGTTCTCCAGGCCGGTGGTCCCTTGCGCTGCGGGGAGCGAGGAGGTGGGGGGATTGAATCTCTGCGGGGAAGCGCTGTTTCCCCGGAGGGACCCCTTCCCCCGGTGCTGGGGCTGGGAAGCTTTCCCCGTCCCTCTTCTTGTTTTGTGGGTTTTGTGGGCGTCTCTAACTTCAGACGGCGTTTGCTTTTCATCCCCTTAAACCCCCCCCTCTCCCCCCCCCGCCCTCAAAGCACCGTGTCTTTTCTCCACGTCAAACCCCCACCGCCAGCAAACATCCGTGCTGAGCGGGGGATCGCCGGGACGGACCCGAACAGCCCCCCCCCAGAGCCGCCCGGAGCGGAGGCAGAGGGGAAGGGCTCTGAGCCGCTCCTGGGGGGCCCGGAGTCCCCGGGCCGGGCGGAACGATGTCTCGGCGAGGCGGGACGGATAATGGCTCCTAATGAAGGGGCTGGCTGGCTCCACAGCCGCGATCTTCACGGGACATTATTTTTAAGCGTTCAGCGAGGCTCATTTTTCACGCCTCGCTGCCTAAAGGAGGCTTTTATTTATTTATTGGGGGAGGCGTGGAGGACACCGGCAATAACCGAGC